CCCCAGGTTCCTTGTAGCCCCTTCAGGCACTGGAAGGTGCTATAAGGTCTCCCCGGAGCCTTCTCTTCTCCAGGCTGAACAAGCCCAACTCTCTCAGCCTGTCCCCATAGCAGAGGTGCACAGAGAGAGCACACACAATGGCTCTGCCATTCACACCTCAGGGGCTGGTTTTTTCCCAGCCCACGCTGCAGTGAAGGGATGCCCTTCTGGTGGCTGCCTGGTACCTCCCTGACTGTCCTGGACTGGGAGAAGAGAGCTTTAATTCTACCAGTGCGTGTGTTAACGACAACTCTAATAGCACAACAGTCGCTTCTGGTCAGTCACAACCTGCCTACCAGTATGTTTAGTAACCAGAAAGTGTTTATTTTTACTGTAGGGAAGGGACTTTGGTCATCCAGCCCTTCTGTTGTGAATAGAGCAGAAGTTTTACCTCCTTGGGAGAGTTCATAGCATGTAGCACCAACCCTATTAGGAGCTACAGGGCTGTCACACAGTATTTTAAGTTTGTGCCCTCTCCCTCTCCAACCCCCAGGTTTTACTGAAGTAACTAACAGCATATACACACCAAGAGTCACCTTAGCCAAAAACGTGTACAACGAAGCTCATGTTCTGTCTCTTCTCCAAGGAAGGTGAGGTCTGCTACATCACCCTGACAAGACCCACATCAGCCTCCCCTGCTATCTGAGTAAAAACATAGCTCAGTTATTCATGTTTGAACAGAACAGCAGTGGCAAACCTCAGCAGGTCTACCTGAGGCTATGGCCATGCTTCCTGAAGCCATGTTCAGTCCGTGTTTCCTGAAGCCATGTTCAGTCCAGGCCTGGAACCCTTATCACAAGGCCAAAGCCCTTTCTGTAGACCTGCCACCTCATCCTTCTGACTTCATTTATGCTTTCCCAGTCTACAATGGGAAAGGATCACGGTTTAGTTAGAAAAACGCTTCTTGGGACATAATCCTCTGAACATCAGCTTTGTGTAAGATACTTCGCAATTCCTCATGCATACTTGCTGAACTATTCAGGTTTTCCACTACCCAAACATAAGGTGAACAGATCTGCTCAGTTACATAATCGAGCAGTACATGAGAAACTGCGCTTACCACTTCTAAGAATTCTACGAAATCAAATACAGACAAGAAATAGCTTAGCCCCAAGCTTGTTCCTCCATACCAGGCGAGCACAAGCCAAGCTGAACCTCACAGTCAGCCCCGCTCAAGAGGGTTAAACCAGATGACCTTCCCAGGTCCCTTCCGAATAATATTACTCTGCCATCCACCCTGCAAACAACCCAACTCGGAAGATGCACATCACCTTTGCAAGGCTTTCTGAAAGCATTTATAGGCAGAGGCCATGGTTTTTAAATAAAAGTTTAATTCCTTCATCAGGTCTTAAGTTTAAACACAAATGCTGCTGAAAATCCTCACGCCACTGCTCCGATGTCCTGGCTCTTGGCTCTCAGGGCATTGGCGGTGCGGCAGCAGGGGCTCTGGTACAGGAGGCAGGAATCAGACTCTCGGTAGAGCTCAGTGCAGGATGCAAAGCAAAGAAGCAAGAGACAACACACTTTCCAGACAAACACCAATTCTTACACAAAAAGAAAAACCCTACACTGTAATAGAACTGTTAACGTTGCCACAGGTCAGGAGTTGTGGGAAGGGAGAGAAGTCCTCAGTAAAAGGCACAGCTAAAGAAGTATTTCCCTAGATCTTAACCAAGTCTTACAGTTAGTTCCACTTACACCCCAGCCCCACACGTCTCGAAGCCATGCTGGTTACTCTAGCAAGTAATTTCAAGTTCCTTCTTTTCCCTTTTTTCCCCTTCCTCCAGCTCAAAAACAAAGGAGAGAGGAGTGCTTATAAAAACCAGAGCATGAAACAGCTTGGTCTACAACCAACCCCATAAAAGTCCAGGAGAGACTTAACAGCTTACCTTACGATTGTCTGCTACGGTTACTAAGTATTCAAGTTTCAAATGATACTTATTACACCCAGGAGCCTCAGCCAGCTCTAGTTTTGGTATTTTAGTTTCAGGCACTTTGCTGCCTGTTAGATCTACAGTTTTCCCAGTACTACGTATCACCAACCTCTTCAACCCACTGCCGTAAGCGCTCGTTAGCAGCATCAGACCCACTCCAAGGCCTTCGTCAGGTTTTGTAGCCCTGCAACCTCCTATGCTCCTTGGCTGGATCTCTTTTGCAAGGAGCAACACTCGCAGTGCAAGGCAGACAGTGACTAGGACGGGGCAGGAACTCGCAGGACAACAGGACAGCTGAACACAAAGCTGTCGTGTATCAAGTCACCCTCAGCCTCCGAGCAGGCACTTGCTAGATGCAACAACCAAGCTGCTATGGGGTAAAGAGGCTCAGTTTACTAGTGTACTGGTAAAAAAAAACCAAACAAACAGGATCAAGGATTTGCACAGCGAGTCAAGGTGGCAGCTATAGTAGATGACAGCAGTCTCTAATCGCTAGCAAGGCTAACAGTAAGCTGGGAAATCGAGGAACTGGTTTTAGCCTACACTAGAAACCAAAGCACACAACCACCGTGAGTCCTCTGCGTGAGAGGGAGAAGAACGCTTGTCCGGGAGGCACCCTCACCAGCCGGCTAACACAGCAAGGCAGTACTGCAAGCCTACGCTCTCACCTTCGCGCTGTAGCACGCAATGGGGAATTTCACTTCCTCAATAAGATGAATTCAGGTCTGCAAGCTACACTGCTCTGCTTCCGTGGGAGGCAGAACCACCTCCCAGGTGCCCCCGCAGGGCTTCAGCCAGGGCCAAGCAAGATACAAGCCTTCCCCCATCGCTCTTCGAGGGCTTCTGTCAGGTATAGAGTGGTAAGACAGCCGGCAATCTCTGTGGCTCTTGCTGTAGATCCAGATCATCACGTCCTAGGGAGCTCTACTTCCCAAACAATTTAGGGTGCGCATGCCAGATCACCTAACCCTGCCCAGACAAGCCCTCCCCCCCACACCCCAGTAATAATTGTGGCAATTAGCCATGTGTCAGTCCTGCTCTCCACAGATCTGCAGAATTGAGTCAATACTCCTGCTGAGCCCCAATGCACAGGGTTGCTGGTGGAGCTGGAGTGTTACAGAGATGAGCTTCCCCCCAGCCTCCCAGTACTGGGATCAGAGCCAGTAAGCCTGACTTAAGCAGGAGGAGCTGTGGAGAACTGCACTGGAACAAGCAGAGTCTTCTACTGAACTTTACAACAAGCTGAACAACTTTTGGTTTTAAAAAAAAAAGCCATACAAGCAGCAGCTGGCATCTGTTGTTATAAAGGGACATGGCTGAATAGGTAGGAGACAGATTCCCCATTATGAGTCCTCCTGATGGCCTCTGCAAGGATCATTGAGATGTCAATCACCTGGAGGGGAAGAGAGACACATCAGTGTCACAAAGACATCAAGTCTGGAAGAACAGCTGGGAAGCCAGGAAGAATTTCAGAGCAAATCCACCACCCACATTTATAACATGCCAGATGCAGACAAGCGAGTTCTACACAGGATTGGGGTTGAATTAAACATAGTTCTGAAGACATTCTACATATAGCACTACAGGAATTATTTCCCTGTCGATCTTTATCAGGATGACATTCTACTGTCACCTTGCCTTGCTGTGACTCCCTGGGCTCAGCCTGTTTACCCTGGGACTATCTTATTCACTTTGTGTCGGCTGCAGAGAAGTCAGGGAAGTCTAAATCAAGATCAGATCACTTCCCTTGAGTCATGAGGCTTTACCAGCAGTCTAGGAAAGATGAAGCTACCGTGCTGCAGCTCAGCTCCCCCTGGCAGGGTAATCCAGTTAACAGGAGGGAAAAATCAGGTGTCAGTACAACTCTAGCTCTGAACCCCAGCAGCTAAAGCACTGATATGTGCAGTCTCAGTAAGAAGTGTTCACCACGTGCAGGCGCATGAAGGACACCAAGTGAAATCTATATCTAATATTTTCCTTCTTCTGGAAAGTTTGTCTCCTAAGGAAGGAAAGAAAAAACTCTTTAAGAGCTGCAGAGCAGTCAGAGCTTATGACAAATCCTTTAGTTCCGATGTTAGTGTAAAAGTGAGGTGTTAAATAAGAGCCTACTGCAGTCTTTGGCTACAGCTATTTACATACTGATTACCAGTTTAACATGTTGCCTACATTTCCTGTCATGCAGAGCCTGGAAAGAAGTTGAAGCATCAGACATCTTTTAGATGTGCCCAGCAGTAGAAATACCACGCAGAAGTTAGCGCTGGAAGAAATAATGCAACCCAGTAGTAGTTTGCAATCAGCTTCTGACTTCCAACAGCTTAAAATTCACTGCAGCTCCAACCAGTTGAGCTTCCTTTTCACCAGAACCAGACAACCTGCTACACTTTACAACACAGTACTAGCAGAGTCTTAGCAGTGCCATTCACTTTCCAGAGCTTCTCCAAATGCCTGTGTCCTATACCTCTGCGCTGTGAAGCCAATACTGAGGATTGCCCTTGGCTGTGTGTGTGCTACGGGCGTTAGGTGACAGATACACAACTGAAGCTGGCATTACCAACTTCAGGAGTTCCTATCTACTTCTGCTTCAGGTATTACAGGTCGTCAGCGTATCGCTCCTCCAAAGTGTACAGATGCAACTGCCGGCTTACAGCATGGCCCCATCAGATCAGTGATCTAACGGTAAAGCAAGCCCAGAAGAAATATTTACTTAAATTAACTGCTGAAGATGAGCTGGATTAAAAGGTGCATTTTGTCAGTGTAACAGGGCTGTCATCCCACAGCAACAGGAATGAGTAGTCAACACTGCCACAGATTCCAGTACCAACAAACCTGCTGTAAGCACCAGACAGTATTTCAGGGTTTTCATACCAACAGCAAGACAGACAAGCGCTACTGCCACCCCAGAGCGACAGAAGAGAAAGTAGATGCTCACCTGGATTTTAGGGCACTGCTTCATCTTGTCCTCCTGGGGTATTGTGTTTGTGACTACAACTGCCTCAAAACAGGCATTGTTGATGCGAGAAATTGCTGGCCCAGAAAAGATCCCGTGAGTTAAGATGGCATAAACTTTGGTGGCTCCAGCTGAAACAAGCCTACAAAGGGTGGAAAAGAGGATGAGAAATACTTTGCAACTTACATTACTACATTAGTGCAGGGCACATGGTAAGCAGGAAAGGAGACAATACCATATATTGGGCTTGGGGGAGAGGCTGTCTGATTCCCCCCTCCTGCCCACTATTGATTTAGAGGAGGAAAACAGTTTCACGTGTATCAAAATGCACCACAGGCAAAGTATACATTGAAAAAAAGCATTCTTAGCTCTAGGACATTTTGACTAGATCCTACAAATCACCTTCCATGATTTCTGCCATACAAGGTAGCAGACACTTAATACTGAGCATTGCATATGCTGGCATTTCTAGTGTAGAAGGCTCGAAAAGCTGACTTCTAATAGACACTCAGATATATGACCTTAAGTTGATGGACCAGACAGCACTTAGTTCTACCTCGCTTACTCAGTGATGGTCTAGCAGAAGGCATACTTCCAGCACAAGCATTTTTCACGTAAAAAAAAAAAAAGACACTGTGGTCTCGTAGCTGTTCCCACTGTGAGAGCTTTAAGTAGGCTCGTGTAACATGAGAAATCGTGAAACTGCACGTTACTTTGTGAAACTCAACAAACAACCTGATAACTCATTCCGTAGCGTTCACCAACCACAGGTTTCTGATTTGGGAAAGGAATCAGTCAGCCCTACTCACTTGTCTGCGGCGTGACAGATGGTACCACACGTGTCTGCCATGTCATCCACCAGAATGGCCACTCTGTCTTTCACATCACCCACCAGCACCATGCGATCCACTTCATTGGCCTTCTTGCGCTCCTTGTGAATGAGGGCGAAGTCTACATTCAATCGATCTGCAATGGAGGTCACTCTGAAGAGAGAACAGTTTCCAACAACACTTAACTCCACAAAACAGCTTCAATCCAGTCTTTTTAAACCATTAAGGACAAGCTGCCAGTGCAGTACGAGAAGCTGTCACCACATCTGTGGCTGCTCCCAAGCAATTAATAAAAGACGCCCTGCCACCTTTGTTTGCCTTCAGGCAGCTAAAACTGCAACCTCTGATCTAATCTTTCCCAATGACAGCAACGAGATTAATCTAAGTCTTTCATCCTGACCACTGTAAATTAAATTACATTTAAAGCTCAACACAAACCTTACCCAGCAAGTTTGGCAAACATGAAGTGATGGGAATGCTCATGAAGTTGTCATCTTTATAATACTACACTGGAAAGGCTTAAGTTGTGCTATGATAGGGATCTACTGGCTCTCATATAAGCATTCGAATGTCACAGAATCACATAACAGCTTGGGTTGGAAGGGACCTT